GTAGGATTGGAAAGGAATCACCCACTATGAGCTGCACCCATCGGGCCAAACACTCAATTCGGACCTCTACTGTCAACAACTGACCAGATTGAAGCAGGCGATTGACTAGAAGCGGCCAGAATTGGCCAATAGGAAGAGTGTTGTGTTCCATCAAGACAACGCCAGGCCGCACACATCATTAACGACGCGCCAGAAGCTCCGAGAGCTTGGATGGGAGGTTCTATTGCACCCGCCGTATAGTCCAGACTTGGCACCAAGCGATTATCACCTTTTCAAGATTATCACATTTGCAAAATTTTCTTGATGGTACAAAACTGGCCTCAAGAGAGGCTTGTGAAAATGAGCTGGTCAAGTTTTTTACCAATAGGGACGAGGACTTCTTCAATCGCGGAATTATGAAATTGCCTTCAAAATGGACAAAAGTTATCGAACAAAACGGCGCATATTTGATCGAAATCGGATAATCCTAACTATGTTAATTTCATCGTCGAAATAAAGCGAAAAAACGCTCAGAACTTTTTACTTCACCTAATATTAAAAAAAAAACAATGTACAATATATGTATCACACTCTTAAATTCGAGTGTGTATTGTAATACTTTAAAATAAACTTTAAAAAAAAAGTAAAGAAAATAAGAAAACAGTAAAGAAAATGAAAATTGCTCTTTTAAATAAAAAACAAAATATTTAATGTAAAAAATTAGTTAATCGACAACATTAGAAATATACTAATTATAGTGTACTTGTCAAGTATTTTTTATGTTCTACAGCTCTGCTGCGGAAAGCGAATACATTATCGGAGACAGAAAAAATAGTAAGGTAAAAAATATATGACGTATGTTTCTCTAACCTTTATTTTATGCTGCACTAAAGAAATTCGGGTTGCACCTCACAGATACGCGCGAGTAACAGAAGGTTAAATTAACAGTATTCGCTCTGTCCAGATATTCTCATATCAATATCTCAATTCGTATCGAAACCAAATATACGTATACAGTTATAATAAATTGTTTTTAATATTCGTTTAGCAATTATTTTGTAATAAGTTGAATATTAATACGTACCATCAAATTACACCCGCATATCTCCCTCTCTTCAAATTTGAGAACTTTATCATTATTTGAAGGTATGTCCAGAGTTGTTAAAGAGATCGTTGTTACAGTTGACTGTATTTCAGGTTGCTCTGTTGTATTTAATTTTCTAAAAGGTATGGTTATTTCTGTGGAAACAGCTATGTGTTCATCATTTCCTTCCGTACCATTTGATGAATTACTTAACACTGGATCATTAACTTTAGAACTTTGTGTATATATAAATGAATCTATTGATTCATTGCAACCTGTTTCGTTGATACAAGGTAATATATCCTCAAGTTTTGCTATATATGCTACATTGATATATGCCATAAATAATAGTAGCAAGAACAACATTGCTGTAAAGTGTTCATATTTTGTAAATATAATCACAAAATGCCAATTATAAATTAAATTCAATTTAAATAAACAGAGATATAAATATTACTTTTAGTTATATTAAGCAAAGTAGAAGAAAGGCTAATAAGAGACATCGCAGATATTGGTACGAAGTTTAAGGTTTCTGTCTCCTCATTGTGTGATCATTTAATATGCGAAATGAAAAATACATTCAAAATTCTAGTAAAATATACAGAAATAAAATCATATGTTTACCAAATGATACTTATAATAAATTGAACAAATCGGTAAAATAGTTCTAATATCTTCTGTAAACATGATGACAAATTTCTTATCTATTAGATGCCCAATGAAAAATTTTTCATATATAATTATATAAAATTATATAAAATTATATATAATTATGTATAATTATATATTATTATATATCAAATTTGTCCATTCATGTTCATACATTCTACTTATATATATATA